CGACCACCACGGCCGAGGGCCCTACATGTAGCTGCGTCACGTAGAGGTCCGCCTTGTCCGCCTTCGACTTTATCTCCAAGGCAGCCGTGTTGAGCCAGGAATACCCCTCCGGCATATCTACGGGTTTCCCCTGATCAGCAGCAATAACCTTTGTAACACCCCAGCCCCGTAGGCCCCGAGGTAGTTACTTCTGACCTCTAGTACTGTCCTCACAAACCGCCACTAGCCTTTTCCGCGCACTTTGTCCTCACTCGTGCGCGCCCTGAGAAACTTCCCAGGGGGTCACCCATCCCAAGACTACTCCCGTGCAAGCACGCTTAACTTTGGAGTTCTTGGGTGATGAGCTCCCTTAAAAGGAGATGCACCTCTGTTGGTATGAGTAGTACTATTAATCCGTATAAATTAAATCTCAAGTGTTACAATCACCCCCACTTAGGAACGCAACGTCCTCGTTGCGCCCATAAACCAATCTCAATCATATCCCAGAATCTTTTCCCCTGCTAAGTGCCCGCCCGATATCCAACGGATCAGCACACTGTCGCAGGGTTGCTCTGATACCACTTGTAACACCCCAGCCCCGTAGGCCCCGAAGTAGTTACTTCTGACCTCTAGTACTGTCCTCACAAACCGCCACTAGCCTTTTCCGCGCACTTTGTCCTCACTCGTGCGCGCCCTGAGAAACTTCCCAGGGGGTCACCCATCCCAAGACTACTCCCGTGCAAGCACGCTTAACTTTGGAGTTCTTGGGTGATGAGCTCCCTTAAAAGGAGATGCACCTCTGTTGGTATGAGTAGTACTATTAATCCGTATAAATTAAATCTCAAGTGTTACAACCTTCTTCTTGGGGACAGCTGCCTTGGCCTTCTTCTTCCCGGGGGCCACCCGGATGGGAACTGCATTCAGCGGCTGGGAAGTACCGGCCTCACCAGCACCCCGAGGGGGAAGGACGGCCACGGTGACCTTCGCCCTCTCCTTTTCCTCCTCCTCTTCAGCAACTTGGACGGCGAGGGCCAACTCTTCATCCTCGGCAGTTCGCTCGAATTCCTCTGCCTCGGCCTCGGCCGTCAGATCCTTCTGCACCTCGGTGGCGAGGGCAGCATCACCACCATCCGAGGGCTGACCACTGCTGGACTCCACGTCGGAGATGCCTTCGTCCTCCATCGAGGGCGTCCTCGAGATATCTTGAGAATCACTCTGGGACGACATTCACACTCTAGTTCGAGGGCTCGTAGACGCTAGTGTTTCCTAACCTTTCTATCTCCTAACCTAAGGGCACAGTACAGGTAGCTAAGAGGTGAAGGGAAAGCGGGCACTGACCTTGAAAGCAGAAGTTTCGACCGAAGGCCTGATTTTCTCTCACTAGAATTTTGGGCAGAGCTTCGCTAAGAAAAATGATCGCACAAGGGGAAACGGCTCTGGCCTTGGGGTATTTATAGGCGCTGGAATCTGGGCTTGGGTCCGGAAACCGGGCCTCCGGACGGACCGTCATCATTACACACCGTCGTTTCACCCAACCGGTGACGCCGCCCACGAACAGCCAGCCATCACACGCCACGTGTGCCACCCCCCCAACGGCTATATCCTGTCGTTACATATTCCAACGGCTATATTTCCAACGGCTATATTCTGGAAGCCCCTGGGTTTTCTACTTCACTCCACTTCATCAAGGATAGCCTCCGGGTGCACTCACTCAGAAGTGCCCCCCGGGTGTTCCCCACACAGCACATAACAGACGCCTTCGGGATCACTCCTTCAGAAACCCAAGGCTTCATATCAGGGCACCCCTCGGGAATTCCCCCTCAGCACTGCAAAACCGGGTAGCCCCCGGGGAGTTGCCTTCATTGACGGATAACCCGTCGCACACAGGTAATGGGAGCCCTCGGGTATCTTCATCACCAATTAATCAACAAACAGTGGACCCCCCGGTAACAACTCCGTTGCCGCCCTCATCCTGCAGGCCCTCGATCCCCGGATTGAGGGGCTCCCCTTCGGCATCCCCAGGATATCAACGGCAAGCCTTCGGCTGATCAATACATGAGCCCTCAGAAAAAGAAGAGCCTTCGGCATTACCGTTATTCTCCATTTTTGACCAAGGTTTGACATTTTCGATTCATCATTGGGGGAATTCGGTGCACTCTTTTTCCCTCATTAGGATTTTCCCCCCCAGGGTTTTTCCTAATGAGGTTTTTAACGAGGCATCCCCCCAAAATGAAACGAAAAACGTCAGCCTTCGGCCCAAAACAGCAACACAACTACTCTACTCCTTTTCACCACTTTACAAGTGCCTCAAGGAGTGGGGGACTGGAGGACCCCCTCGGGAAAATCATTAAATTACAAAAGATGTAGAAATTCCAAACAAACAACAAAGCAAGCCCTAAAGTCCCGACATGTGGGTAACTGAGGGACTGCCTTCGGCAGGGACATAAAAGCAACAACTCCTCACCAACTTCAGAGATCACGACGAGACAACATCAAAGGACAAGCACAAATTACTCCTTTTCCCTCAAGTACCTTTCGGCAAAAGGAGTGAGGGACTCCTGATGGAGTATATGGCCCGGGAACCCCCGGCCCACAGACTCCTACTACTCCGGCGAAGGCCCAACAGACCCAGAAGGCCCAACAGGCCCAGATCACAGCGCCCAGAGTACCAAGCAGCCCGCACTACGCGCCAGGGGTGCCTTCGGCCCCCTGGCCGAAGGCTCTAAACTCTCACAGGACGGGCTTCGCAAGCAAATTAAGAAACTGGGAGAAAACGGCGAAAACAGTAGCCCTCGGCACTGTGAGCCCTCGGCACCAGAGTGCCATCGGTTGGAGGAGCCCTCGGCCATTGCTCTATAGTCGAAGGCATCTCACCCGACAAGATATCCGCCTCACATGCGTGCAGATCACCGTACCCTGCACAAGACGTCCCATCCAACAGCCGCATTAAATGCGGCCACATGCGGCTGCCAGCGCCAACCAGTTGAGGTGACCCCTAGGCCAATGAGCGCTTGACACGTGTCCCTGTCCGGCATTTATTGCTACTATAAATAGCACCCCATTTCCTCATTTGTAACGACGCTGAAAACGGCATTCATATTGAATACACTCTCTCTCTACTTTTACTTACTTGCTCTGACTTCTTTCTAAGTTATTCCCCGTAATAACCCTTCGGATATATACCCCCGGGTAGACTATCCATCAAGAGCGATCTGTAGGAAATCAAAGTTTGTTACCTCAGAAAATTGCCTGCCAACGGAAAATTTAAACACGCAACTCAAAATCTATAGGAAAACTCAAAAGAATAAAAGGCACCACAACATGACTACTAGGTCTTAGTCAAGAGAATTTCGTTGGGTGTAGCTTTAGTCTTTTCTTTCTTTGTATTGTTTAATTTGTTTTTTTTTTCTCTGCTTTCCTTCTTTGTACTGTTTACTTTTTATTCAATAAAATTCTCTTTTCTTTAAAAAAAAGATAAAAAGGTGGAGGCTCGAAGGAATCTCCAACAAAGTTCTGCACACAAAATGTTGAAGGAAGATATATGGTCTATTGATAATGACGCACATGTGGATGATGTGTGGTTATCAATGGAGTCCACTGTTAACAGAGTGGCGAAGGAGATACTCGGAGAATCTAAGGGATGCGTGTCACCAAAAAAGGAAATGCTTTGGTGGAATGATGAGGTGAAACAAGCAATAAGCACCAAAAGAGAATGCTATAAGAAATTGGACAAAAGTTGGAGCGACGAGAACATAGAGGAGTACAAAGAGGCTAGAAGAAGAGCAAAGAAAGCTGTGAAGGAAGCCAGATGAAAAGTGAACAGAGAATTATATGTAAAGTTGGACTCTAAGGAAGGATAAAAATATATCTACAGACTTGCTCGCCTTCGTGACCGTAGGACTCAAGATATCAGAAAAGTTAAGTGTGTGAAGGATGTCGATCAAGGGGTACTAATGGACGACGAAGAAATAAAAGAGAGGTGGAGGTCATACTTTGATACCTTGTTCAACGGGAATAAAGTGCAACGTATTGGTGATCTTGCTATACCAGAGTGTATGGTAAATCGAGACTTCATGAGAAAAATGGGGCGGAAGAAAGCAGTGGGCCCAAATGGCATACCAATCGAGACTTGGAGAAGTTTGGGAGAGAAATGCATCGAGTGGCTAACACATTTCTTTAACATGATTTGGAGAAACAACAAAATGCCAGTGAGTTGGCGAAAGAGTACTCTCATTCCCTTATTTAAAAATAAGGGTGATGTACAAGAATGTGCTAACTATCGGGGGATTAAGCTTATGAGTCACACCATGAAACTTTGGAAGCGAGTGGTTGAACAAAGACTTCGTAAAAGTGTGAAAATTTCGGAGAATCAATTTGGTTTTATGCCTGGACGCTCAACAACTGAGGTCATTCACATTCTTAGACAAGTTGTGAAGAAGTATAGAGACACTAAAAAGGATATGCATTTGGCGTTCATTGACTTAGAAAAGACATATGATAGGGTACCTCAAGAAGTTCTTTGGTGGGCCTTAACTAGAAAAGGCATATCACGTAACTACGTAAGTATATCAGTATCATCATGGATATGTATGATGCTTGTACTACAAGTGTCCGCACTAGTGTAGGGAGGACCGCAGAGTTTCCTATTACTATCGGAGTGCACCAATGATCTGCTCTGAGTCCTTTCTTATTTGCTATAGTCATGGATTAACTTACGAAGTCAATTCTGTAATGTAGGCCAATTCTCCACTTAAGCGTCACTGGCCGTTTACGATGTATAAAAGTGTATTAATTGTCTAAGTTAATTTTCTATTAATTTACCATTAAATTATAACCATTATTTTGGTGAAGGGGAAAGTCTTGGACTCCTAATTCGTACGTACTATATCTCGTCTCTACTCTTAGGAGATCCAAAAAGGTGATTGTGAACTTGTGATGAGAGCAATGGCTGCATACTTAAAAATTAAAGTTACAAACATATATACTACCTTGTCTACCTATATATCACATGCAGTAAAAAGTGGGGGAAAAATTCGAAAGGTTGTAATTATTATGCAGGCCAACTTAAGAGTTAAGATAGAGCCAAGATGTTAAATTGAAATTTGTATACGAACCCACTATAATGGTAAGAAGAAAGCCTTAATATATATTCTGACTTACATGTAAAAGGATAGCTAAATGATTATTAATCATTTTTACAACAACAAAAAGTTTCTTTGGTGAAGTATCCAAAGCATCCGGTGGCTCCGCCCTTGGACTGACATGGGATGATGCAGTCCGAAATTGTATGACATCTTATACTGGTACAAAGGACTGGGCCCAACAGCACATTTTTTTCCGCATTTGCTATTGAACCTTCCAACCAAAAAAAGCAATTAAAATTACAATTAATTAGCAACAAATTTCGAAATAAAACAACAAATGATGAGCAAAATATAATCGATAGTGGGTACCAGGTCCAAGATTAATCACCATCATAATGAAACCCAGAGCAATCATAAAACTGCATCCTTTAGAATCCCTCATATTTCTATCCTCTCTATTTGTGTAATTGATTTTAATTATTTGTTTGGAGAAGGTTACACATATTTATAGAGGGAGATAGAGAATAATTAACGTTATTATTATACATTGAACTCATACATTTTTGTTTTTTATATACATGCTACGCCTACACTTATATGGGTTATTGCCAGTTAATTTGTTCCGGTCAATTAATTTTCTTCTTTTAATTTTTATTTATTCCCTTTCCATATTTACTACTCCGTATTTAATCAATCTTTCCATAAAAAAGAGTGAGGTGGTAATTAATCTTGATATCTTAGGTAATGTATTCAATATTTTGAATAATTTAATTATATTTCCAATTCGACACACATATACGGAGTATAAAGTATAGTATGCATGCTTTGTACATGTTTTGTTCCTATAAAAAATTTCATAAATATTATTCCTTAAAATATGATGAAAAAATATTACTTAGTAACTATTAGTGACTATAATTATGTTCAAAATTTACATTGTAGTAACTAAATGTAAGTTACTGTGCTTGCTTGAGTTCGGAACCGGGAAGCTTGGAGATAATCGTCTAGGACAATTGGCGGGAAAGCAAGACATTTTGCGGGAAACGATGAAAAACGCGGTGGCATTTTTATAAATAAATCAAAGTTTTTATTCTTTTTAAACAGTGGACTTCTAGAGTGCAATAGTGTACTGTAAAGGACCAAAAATGGATGACGTAAAATTTCTCAATGAAATAATGAAACTCAGATGTCCAAAAGTGAAGACGTTCACAACCATTTTTATTTTAATTAAGGCTACTTTATATTCATGGGAAAATGTCTTTTTACAACTCAGACGTTCGCATTTTGTATTTTAAGTGCATCATAGTGATCAACAAATGCACCCGTTCACACTTTGTACGGGAAGATGTTCAAAGTTTTTTTACCAGGAAATGTGTATTTTTTCTTTATTATATTGTAACCAAAGGGGGTTCTAAGATTTGTTTGAACTTGAGAAAATTAAAACACTAAGAATAACGAATTATGTGATATAAATCAATGAGGTAAAAGATTTGATTTTGCTACTTTTCACATGTTGTAATGTTTGTTGATCTTGATTATATCTTTAATTGTTCACTCTCGAATATTCAATCGTGGAGTAACTTCATTCATCGAGGATACTTTTTAATAACGAGACCATTCATTAGCAAACCTAACTTTTAATAACCATGTATAGAATACTGCCATATTCCGATTTCATAGTAACATTATATTTAATGATTTAAGCTCTTAACTTCATGATGAAATCAATTGATGTTGATCATATCAACACAACGGTTTTGATCCAACCAATACAATTAACCCCTCGTAATAAGATTATTAATCATGAGACCATGCAATAATAACATGAAGTTGCTTACTTGTGAAATCGTCAATGATTAATCATTGGTTCATTAATTATTCGTAGCAGTAATTAGTGTTAAACTATTGACTAACCGTCACTTAGCAACACTTCAACATCAACGGCCTATCTCCGCGCGCCTTCAAATATGCTCTGCGCACCCCTTTTGTTTCAGGATTGGACAAATATGCCCTCGGGAGAATTTTATTTTGTAGTATGATTGTACTCCGCGCACCACTTCATTCATTTTTTTTATTAAAAGATACGGAGAACTAATTATCTGAGTTTTTATACTTCTTATGTCTTTAATTATTACTCCGTAATGTTTAATTTGTTTCTAAACAACAAGAATTTTTAAAACATTCTTCTTGCCCTAATATAATTAGAATTACAATTTGTAGCTATCATTAAAAAAATACTATATACGTATTTGTAACACATAATAATATTGTTATAAAAAATTTACAATCATCTAATATGTATCTAAAAAAATTACCAATATAACAATACTATATAAAATAAGTACAATATTCAATGTTGATTTATTTAATAGCGTTGACGGAATAGACAGTGCCTATGAGTGAAAAGTTGATTTAAATTTCTATTGATAATTACTACTCGTATTTCAGAGTGATAAATGAATAAAAAATGTCAAAAAATATTTATAAAATTTGAGTCTAATTTCTACTTTGTTTAATATATAATTCTTAAATGTATAAAAAGTGAAAATACCAAAAATTACTCTGTATATCATTCCTTTTAACTAATACTCCGTATTAGATTCCACATATAACATGTTTATAAATTGATTTTTTAAACTTTAATAAAAAGAATTCTTTGCAAAAAACAATTATCTAAAAAAAATTCCGTTTTCTTGTTACTAGGCCTACGCCTTCTCACACTTTTAGTGATCAACTCGTTAGTTCATCGTCGTCTTATCCGTGTCTTTCTACTATGTAGAGCGTTTTACCACCACGTCACGCTTAGGCCCTGCTTTTTACCTCCTTTTAGAACACTGACAATATTATTGAAATATTATCGAATACATAATTGAGATAAAGATAATGGGCAGGTGAAGTGATTACTATGAAATGAGATAACTAATTATCACGTAAGCATGAAAGTCAAGAATACTAATTTTAAATAATTAATCTCGAGATTCATTCATCATTGTATTAGAGAGGAAATGTGCACTAACTATGCCCCTCAACTTCTAAGAGATGCAAAAATACCCTTTATGTTCTTATAAAGGAGCAAGCTTGCCTTTATTGCTTTTAAAAGAATAAAATAAATATTTAAAAAATTATAAATTTAAATTTTCAAATTGAAAATTAAAAAAATAAAGAGTTAAAAATAATTTTTTTATGTTAAAATAGTAACTCTTTAATTTTAAATTGAAAAATTATTATTTTACCCTTGTAAATGAAGCACTTCAAATTCATAAATATTAATTTTAGTGTCGTTGCGGAATTTCGAACACATTGTGACATTTTTTAAAATATCATTTTTTGGTTTTGTTTAAACTTAATAAAATTAAATTCACTATTGTAATCTTGAACTATTTATCATCATATAAAATATGTAATTTTATAGTGCAAAGAATTCAAAGAAAAATAATGTTTTTTTTTTAAATTGTAACAGATATGTTATTAACACTTTTTCAAAAGAATCATACTATAGTAACGTTTTTTCAATTGGACACAAGTAGATGTTTATATTGTCTTAAAGAGAGAGATAATTTATTTGCTAATATTTATGTGATTTTCTTTCATGCCACATGTGCACCGTGCACACTATAACATTGGAGATGCTCTTATAGGAACGCTCGTGTTTCTAAAATGATGAGTTGGATTTTCTATCTGATGGGCTAACAAATTAGGCCCAGGCAAGTCTAAGGGGCTGCGATCGATCATCTCAATAGTACGTATTCATTTAAATAACATACTATTTAACTAATTATAAAATTATCTAAAATGAAGCATGAAGATACCGTAAAATCAAGCATGTACTAATATCTATTTATATATAAAAAAAGAAATACAATTATGTCCTTAATGAATCCTATGTGTCTATCTCTCCACAATTTGCTCATTTTCTATAAAAATGCCACATGGATTTCTAAACTAACTCGCCAAAACTAACTCACGTGACTTTCTATTTGAATTCCTATTTGAAGAAAAAACGTGGCATCAATTAATTAATGGGGCTCATCTATTTATATATAAGAAAAGAAATAGCTCATTAAAATACAAATATGTCCTTAATGAATCTTATGTATCCATCTCTCCACAATTTGCTCATTTTCTATAAAAATGTCACATGGATTTCTAAACTAACTCGCCAAAACTAACTCACATGGCTTTCTATTTGAATTCCTATTTGAAGAAAAAACGTGGCATCAATTAATTAATGGGGCTCATTGTATAAAAAAATTTCATTTTCTTTAAAGTGTTATAACTTTTTCAATTTTTCTCTGATTTTTATAAAACATATACCAAAATTCATAATTTTTTACGATGTTTCATATGACACCAATAATTCATATATAAAATTTTTAAGGAATAATTGTATTTAGATTTTGATGATGCTAGACTTATTAGGATATTAGAGTATCCCCACTAGAAAATATGTATTAGATTTTTTCCAAGTGTTATAAGTTTTTTAGCATTTATCTAATTTTTGTAAAAACTATATCAAAATCCATAATTTTTATGATCTAATATATGAGCATGAAAATTTTCTATCTCATACGTAGTGTTTTAGGTATATAAGATAATTAAGCGGACTAATAATTGAGCAGGAGAATTTTGTCTCTTATATGTAGTGTGTTTAGGTATAACAAGATAAATGGACTAATAATTGTGCGGAATAATTTCCCCTCTCATACGTAGTGTTTTTAGGTCAAAGAAGATAACCCGGCTAAAACTTGAGCAATAGAGTTTTCAGTCTCATATGTTGTATTTTTAGGTATAAGATAAGATAAGAAGGCTAACAATTCAACGGGGGATGTTTCTCTCTCATATGTAATGCTCTTATATTAGGTATGAGATAATTCGGCTAAAAAAATTGAGCGGGAGAATTTTCTCTCTCATACAAAGTGATTTTAGGTATAAAGAAGATAAACCATCTAAAACTTGAACGAGATACTTTTCTCTCTCATACATACAAGTGGTTTTGATTATAAGATAAGCTCATAAGCCGGCTAAAAATTGAGCGGATGAATTTTCTCTCATAAATAGTGCTTTTAATTATAAGATAAGATAAGCCGGCTGAAACAATTGAGCGGGAAAATTTTCTATCTCATACGTAGTGCTTTTAGGTATAATAATAAAGAAGATTAGGTATGAGAATATAGGTATATAATAGGTCGGCTTAAACAATTGAGCGAGAAAATTCTCTCTCACATATGTAGAGGTTTTAGGTATAAGAAGATAAGCCGGCTTAACGTGCAGATGATTGGGCGGGATAATTTTCTCTCTCATATGTAATGATTTTAAGTATAATAAGTAGGTAAGATAAGATGTGCAGACGAATACTTGTGCAGGATAATTTTTCTATCACATGTAATACTTTTAGGTATAATAATATAAAAAGATTAATGTGCATATGATTGGGGAGGATAATTTTCTCTCTCATACGTAATGATTTTAGGTATAAGAAGATAAGATAAGATGTGCATACGAATAATTGAGCGCGATAATTTCTTTCTCATATGTAATGCTTTTAGGTATAATAATAAGATAAGATAAACAGATTAATAATTGATCGAGAGAATTTCATCTCATATTTTTTCTCTCATGACCTTTTAAACTTATGAGAAGACATTTTTCTATATTCACTTATCATACTCCATTTTTGAAATGAAGTAAATTGTAAGGAAAAAAACTATTTTTATATTTAATTAGATCTTGAATAAAAGTATATGTAGATCAACCGTTTTTTCCCGTGCGTATGCACGGGTACTGTGCTAGTTTGATATAACAATAGTTATAAATACAATAAATATATATTAAATTTAATTTGTAAATCAAGGAAACATTTTGATTAAAGAAGTTCTAGAGAAAATTTTAAAAACTAAAACTCTAAATTGAAATAGCATATGAAGAAAGAGAAAATGATAGCAATTAATTAACTAATTAACAAGTCAGCCCTCTCACGAGTTACAAACCAATAGTATTTGAAAATTTGGGCCCCCATTTGTTTTACCTTTTTTTAGCCTGAGGCCCATGCCATGCCTCAGGCCTCAACAGAAGACACGACCCTGCCCAGCTACCCTCCGTTTACTCATCAAAATATTATATTCTCAAGGCTGTAAGACGGCCTTACTACACATTATTGGATTAAATTATCAAATTAATACCAAGTAGAACGTGAACTGAATAAAAGAAAGGAAAATGAACGTGCAGGCCGTTGGGGGTGATGATGTGCGACTAGCGACCGCCGTACTGTTTGCTTCTTTTATTTTACGTGTGAATTATCGAGAAAAAAAGTATATATATCAAGTAATTTGCTAAGCATTAAAAATTAAAGAGGAAAAATGCTTGCAAACTTACAGTCCGAAGGCTTCCAGCCAAGAAGCAGGTTTTCTCGATCAAATACCAAATGGTATCCCGTCATGAAGTTCACTGTGAGATAATGTACGTATATATTAGCAAAAGATAATTTGACCACGCTTAGTTTGATTTACTCACTAGGAAAGTCTTCAAGCATCTAATAAAAACAATTTAAATTATTTCTCACTCAAACTAACAACTTATAAGAGAACAAAATTATTACTCCTTTTAGGATGGAACCTCATTCTCAACAAAAAAAGAATTTAAATTATTTTTTACTCAAATTAACAATTTATTCATGTTGATTTAGAGCACAGGTATATAAAAATCTTATTCAACATAGCGGTATCGAAGAAGAAGATAAGACACAAGTGACACAACAGTGTAAGGTGAGTTTTGTTCCGTTTACCACAGCTTCTCCGTTAAGTTTTTATGTGATTTTTATCCGTAGAGTTTTTAAAATTAGTCACCCACAGGACCGGTCCTGGGACATGGACAAAGAGCATGCGTCCAAAGCCCATTACTCCCTTAGGCACATAAGTTTTCTAGATATATATACATATGTATTTTAAATATATAAACATTATAAAGTTTATAAAAAATCAATATAAAATAAAACTTATGTAGTATAATTTTTTTCGATGCATTGAATTCGTTATTCAACAAAATCTATAAGTTACTAGTCTAAAATTTCGAAACATTCACACCAAAATAGGACCATATTAGTCTTATTGGAAACATACATACTTTTTCATTCCATTCTCACCACTCCTTTAAATATGTGTAAAAAGTAGTCAAGAGTCGTAATTCAATGTTTTAATTCATATAAATTCGTAAAAAATAATAAAAATCGTAGAAAAATATTAAAAATAATAATAAAATATTTATAAAATAAAAAATCATTTTTTTAAAAATTAATAAAAAATAGTTAAAAACTATTAAAAAATTTAAAAAATTATGGATGCCTTTCCCACCGCCTACTGCGTCCCTGCACCACCACCTCCTACTGGTGTAAATAATGCCACTTTTTCTAAAAACTGTCAAATTTTTTTCATGAAAATGCCAAAAAAATGGCATATTACTCTTTGAGAATGCCAAAATTTTCATTGAATCTGCCATAAATATGGCATTCGTAATGGATGTAGCATTTTTTTCCACTGGTGTCTGGAGGTGGTGGTGCTGGGGCGGTAGAGGCGGCGGCGTTTTTTTGTTTTTGCGTTTTTTACGGAGTGTTTTTTTTAAAAAAAATTTATGTTTTTTTTATAAAAAAAATTAATTATTATGTAAATATTTTTATTATTTTTTTAGTATTTTTTCGAATATTTATTATTTTTTTATTTTTTTATTCTTTTATTATGAATTTAAAACATTTCAATAGCAACTAGGGTATATTTGTCCAACACACACATAATTAGTCCTATCAAATGAAAAACATAGTTTATTTTTTGGTCCTATTTGTACAAAGTAACTAGCTTTTAGTCCTATTTTGACAATTAACCCAATTACATATGCATCAAATTAATTAGCAACTGGTGTACTCCACTAATTCAAAGTTTGTGGTTACAATAGTTTCTGTCTTCTTTATACAAACTTCAATTGCTCCATTTTTAAGATATAAAACTTGGTAAAATAATAAGCTAACGCAAATTATATGGTGCAACCGGAGCACCATGAGGATGGTGCGTCCGGTTGCAAAAACGACGTAGGATCAGATTTTTTTTTTCTTTTTTGCTTTTGTTGTTAAAAATGATAATAACTTTTTTATTTTTGATCTGATTTTTATAAAATTTATATCAACTTTTTTTATTTTTCATGATCTTTCAAATGAGACCAATATTGTGTATGTAATTTTAAGAAATTATCGAACTATTATATTAATGAGTATTGGATTATAAGAAAAATCGAATCTGTTTGGGAGATGATAGGTTTGTGAAATAGAAGATCGAATCTGTTTGGTAGTGGATCAGTGGCCTCATTTACATTTGATAATACATTGAGTTACATCTTTTTATGAGCGAGTTTCATCTTTTTATAAGCAAGTTACATCTTTTTATAAGCAAGTTACATCTTTTTATAAGCAAGTTACATCTTTTTAAAAGCGAGTTACATATATATAAACACGAGTTGCATTTGACATGCTTGAACGTGACTTACATGTATTTACACGTAAAGTTACATATTTTTACACGTAAAGTTACATATTTATACACGCGAGTTACATATTTATACACACGAGTTGCATGTGACCTGTCTGAATGCGAGTTACATATTTTTTTACGTAAAGTTACATATTGTTACACGTAGAGATACATATTTATACACACGAGTTGCATTTGACTTGACTGAAGAGTTACATATTTTAACACTTAAAGTTACATATTTTACACACAAATGTTAATATGTTAAAATTACATAGGCAATATTGGTCTCATTTGAAAGATCATGAAAAATAAAAAATGTTGATATAAATTTTATAAAAATCAGAACACAAATAAAAAAGTTATTACCATTTTTTAAAAACAAAAGGAAAAAAAAAAGAAAAACCGTCCCGGTATACAGTGCTCACCGTATACCGGTTGCACGGTATACGCACTCATAAGCTAAGGGACACACATATACACTTAATTATCCCCATGAATAATTAGCTACATACGTATAGTACTCACTTTTGGTGTGAAGTTTCTAGTGGCGTTTGCAGCTGATCAGAGTCACCTTTGTCCCCAAACGCAATTCGGCCATTGCCGTCAGCTGCAAAACACAAAGAAAAGGAATACGGAACCAACCCTTCCCCTGCAGATGATAACTGATTGGGTACACCCAAAGCGCCGTGCCCCAGCCCAAGCAGCCCGTTAACTGCTGCCGTGCTCAGAATAAGTCCCGTTTCTACTTCTCCACATCTATATATAGTTGATCAAGTATATATGTATAGTTGATCAAGTATATATGTATAGTTGATCAAGTATATATGTATAAACGATGTAATTAAATTGAAGTTATATAGGTTAGCTAGCCAGCCAGCCAGCCGTGTAACTAGTTACCTGTCTGAGTTACTCCCTCCGTCCCGCAAAATTGTTCTCACCGTCTTTTTGGGGCATCTCAAAAAATTGTTCTCAGTTTTTTTGAAAAATTTTATGTGGCTAACATTAATGAAAAAATTTCTAATATATGACTAAAACATAAACAAAGTGCACCTATAGGACCATCATTAGTTTTTTTTTTGTTTCTAAAATAGTACTTATTCACTCTTCATAGGGGATGTTTTGAACTTTTAATAGGTCAAATAAGTCATATTTTAGGAATAAAATACATGTAGTACTCTTTGTGCATTTTGACTAAGGTTTAGTCCTATTTACAAAAATTTCTAAACATTCATATACCTTTTTCTCATTCAACCACAATCATACGTTTCCATTTTATTTTCACTTTTTTATAATCTGGTCCAAGTAAAACCGGAAACTATTTTCGGGCCGGAGAAAGTATTTTTTTTATTGGTAGGTAATAGTCAAAGCTATGTACGTGTACACAAAATCTTAACAGTACCCGAATATGACGGGCGCATGAACATGCCAAGTTTCATTATCATAAGTTTCAAGGTACACAATATCCGATCCTTCACCAGGATTCCCTTGGATGAGGTATTGGGTGCCATGTAATTAATCTCGTAAGGGCATGGTGCGGGGTCCATGGTCGAGCATTCCATCTCATCGTTAACAGCTGGCCCCGCACAATCAGGGCTGTTGCAAAATACAACCTCACTCGTTGATGAAGAGCGCGGGTTGTAAATGTTCAGATTCTTTTCCTATTTATATATACACACACACACACACACACACACACATATATATATATATATATATATATATATATATATATATATATATCAATATATGCATGGTAGGTTTCAAATGGAAATGGGTGAAAAATAAGAACGGTATTATTACAAGTACAAATTTTACACAAGGCTTAAAATAAATAAATAGGAGTAATTATAAGAAATACAATATAAATAAAATAAAATGTACTACGTATTTCTATTGCATGTAATTATACGCGCACGCATACGTAGTACTACGTGTATTATATTTCCACTTTTCTCGAATGTTTAGGTGTTTAGAAGAACACCGTACCCTTTCATTGAAGGGATCTCTGTCCCTAGATATATATAGAGTGCTTATTTTTCACATGAAAAAATTACAATAAAAATATTTGAATCAAACTCCACTATATTACTTACTTCTCCCGTAGATGTTGTGAGGGTGCGTGCACAGTCGAGACAACCGCACGGCAACCAAGATACGACACTTCCCGTATCGAGTGCTACCAAATATGACTTCGGAGGTGTCCCAATATTTATTTCAGCGTAATGGAGGCTAAAATATATTTAAATCAATCCACCAACGTAACAAACATATGTTCCAGCATAATCGTTTTCGTATAATTTATCAAGGGTTAAAATGATACCTAAATTATTGATATTATTATTGTGAGCGTTTTGATACCATAACTGTTAAATGAATAAAATTGATCTACATGACGATCAAACTTCCATATGTAGAGTCCACCATACATTGATGACATGGACAAAAGTAAGGTGAAGTGGAATTCACGCATAGAATTCCGACCGTCACATATGTTTTTTTGGCTAGAAATTTGAATAATAGTTAATTGAAACATTTATTTGTATATAATTATGGCACCGATTGGATTCATTTAAAAGTTAAGTTATCAAAACACAACAATAAAAACAGTGAGAGATATGGTTTGTGCATTTCACTCATTTATGAACGTACTTACCTTCCCAAAGAGGCTATAAGTGTGGTGACACCTCCCCCAGCAAAACTGAGAGACGGTGGCTGTTTCTTTGACGTTAAGAGGAGGCGTTGTTGGTCCTGGGCGATCCAGAGTTTGTGGTACTCGACGCTGCCCCTTATTGGCAAGCCGGCACCACCCTTGATCTCACCGGAGTGGAACACCTTCATACCCATTACTACGTATGAGAATTGTAATGGGAGGATAAAGAGAACTATACAAAATCCTATTGATATTAGGTTGGCCATATTCTCAAGTAGCGAGCGTTAATTTAATTCCCCACATATACATATAGGTTACAACTTACAACACTACATAGGTTACTATTTCAAGTTGTAAAACTCAAAAGCTGATGAAAAACCTTCCCACCCAATTACGCAAACGCATGCATCCATCGCCATCTTTGCTTGTTCGAAAATCATACGTAAAAGTGAACATTTCACATTTTACACGTTAAACTTTTTATTTGAACCACCTCTATATATATGTGAAGTGCGGTTTCAATCATAACGAGTATTAACATGAGAATGTGAAAACAATCAATTTTAATCCAATTGAATACGTACACTACGAGGCTTGTATATATGTTGCACTTTTTAACTTGATCAATCAAATCAATATTAAATAATCAGAGTAGCATTTTGGTAAATATTATGCATAATGCAAAAACTACAATGGACAATCTTTATTTTGCATCACACTAGAGTAAATGTGTGCGTTCTCATATATGTGTGTAGGTTACGGATCAAATAAAAACCACTCCTAAGGTGAAAACTGCAAAGCGTTCACTTTTTCCCAATGTGTTGAACTTTAAAGGTGGACAGTTGCAGTGGCGGAGCCAGGAATGACACGTTTCGAGGGCCGGGACTTAAAGAATTTATATAACAGGGGCCAAAGCTTAATTTTCACTATATTTTTTACTACTTATAAATATTTATATATATGTATATATATCACAATTTTTTTTCTTGCAGGGACCGAAGCCTCCGCCAGCCTCCCCATGTCTCCACCCCTGGGCAGTTGTACTTTTTGAACTTTGGTTGAGCTATGCCCAATAAAAAGATGCGGTGAGACTTTGGTAAATAAGACAAACTTTTATGTCAATGCGAAAAAGTGCAATGTAGAAACCTAATAGTCCATCACATCGTGAAAAAGTGAACGATTGTAGTTTTCCGGGAAGCAATAATGATTTTTATTTGGTCTGCACCATATATGTGTATGAGTATGTTATATATAAGGTCCGGTTCGAGTGACAACACTCCTTAGTCCTTCCCGTGAAAAATGAGAATGATGCAGAATGTTGCACATTATAATTCACATGAGGTATATGCAGAATGTTGTATTCCCGTACAAAATGCAAACTTTAGTTTTGATCATTTGGGGTGGATTATTACGTTTAGATGATTTTTGTCATCCACTTTTGATCATTTACGATACCCTATTGCACATAGGGAGTTCACCTTTTGCAAAGTAGAAAAACGTAACCTTGATTTATTTACAAAAATGTCACCGCGTTTTTATCTACTTTCATGCATTTTTATCGTATTAACGTATTTAGAGCCATTAGATGTTAGATCCGATGCACCATACTTGTTCTTACATTTTCATGGGTGAGACTTTTTATTTGATCCAATATACAATCTTTATATATTTATTTATAAATACATCCAAATCATATACTCCCGTATTTGGTAACATTATTACTTTTACTTTACCAGATCATATAGCTTTTGTTAGGTGGGTTAAATTGTTACCAAACTAAACAAGGAATGATGCTTTGTTATATGGTCCCCATTTAAACAAAGAACGATGCGCATTAAGGATGTTTTTACTTGGATTGTAATTTGCTGGTTTGGTCTGGTTTGGTCTGGTCTGAACTGGTCTGGTCTGGTCTGGTCTGGTTTCTTTGTATTTTTATAAATATCCAAGTCTGGTCTGAACTGGTCTGGTTCGGTCTGATCTGATCTGGTCTAAGAGGAATTACAATCCAAGTAAAAACATCCTAAGGGCTTATCTTTGAATGAAAGTTAAAAATGAAGAAATAGTGCAATAATGTTAGGGTTTCCGCCATTTTTGTTTACCCTATATATGTGTCAAAAGATGTAAATCTGAGTTGTTAGAGCAATATATAAGCGGCTATTGTTCTTAATTCGTTGATTAAGCGTATCACTAGTGATTAATCAAACACAGCCAGATTTGACCAATTGAGTTAGCTTGATGAGGACTCAGCTAGCTATAGCTCCCTAATTACTTGAATTCAATACCTCCCACACATAAGAGTGATTTTAAGTATGGAGAGTGGTTCACTTGTACGCACCTGTCCAACTTCGAATTAACATAATTGCTGCCAATACTTTCAAATTTGTATGGAATTGATATCAATTCTTCAATCTGAATCATTTTTTACCAATACTTAATTATATGAATGTATTACCCATATGCAGTTAATACCAATTTTTTTAATATGCGTAGTATGTTTCAATGAAAATATGGAACTTTACATTGTCATGTGTCAAGTATTAAAAGGTATTCATTTTTAAAAATATTTTTTGGAGTATTTCTCAACCAGCAAAATTGATACGAATTAGTAGTCTAATACGTAGTAGAAGATTGTGGGCTATTTGAGATTGATTTTTATGCACATACTTCTGTGCGTGCAAATTTTGGCCCTCATAAACCATAACGTGTGTCACACCTGTCACCCGCACGGGTAGCTCAGTTGGTTCAGTGGTAGGAAATTTGGACCAAGTGACCAAGGTTCGAAACCCGCAGCGGCCGTGTGGAGGTCACAGAACCTGAAATAAGGCTGGGCCTCTGGTGCGCACGGGAAAAAGACCTACCATCATTGGGCCGACTGAGTCACCGTGATTAACATCCTCCCAAAAATCCTGTCGGGTCGGGGTATGGGGAGCTCCTGGGGTGGGAGATTCCACCTTTTGGACCAAATGTGTCACACCTATCGGCTGTCTGTTTTGTTTTGAGTTATTCTGTCCCAAAGTTCGTGTCAAAATAGCGACAGACGTTTACAATATCAAAATCAAAGTTTTTTTTAACAGTCTAGACTCTAGAGAGGTGAATATCCAATTGCTATACATTGGAGCACGGTGAGCATAGTACTTCCACGTGTGAACATTTTTTTTGTTTCCATAGCAGAATGATGTAACTCGTGCGTAAAACAATGTAACTCACGTTGATGAGTAATGTAACGGTAGGTCCGTCGAAAGAGAAATAAAACAATGATTCAATGTGTAAACAATGAAAAAAGTTTAATTACTCATATACTTTACGTAAATAGTGAATATGTTTTGTTTATAATATCAGAGTCATATTTTTTCTAAATCTTTTTTCTTCAATTCTTTTTTTTGCCAAAAAAAATCATTTTTTTGTTTCAGTAACAATGGTTTATTTTGGTCCCATGACTATTATATTACTTCCACATTTAGTCTCTTACTTTCAGATTGTCCGCATTTAGTCCGTGATCATTATCTCCTCACCACCCCTCGTCCTTCCGGCCAAAATTTCGGCAAATTTAGTCCATTTTTCAGCCTCAGAACCAGTCTTTGCATTAAATTTTGTATCAGGTTGAGTTTTTCATATCAGTATTCGAATTAAATTTGGTTTTTCATACCTAAAATCTGCATTAAATTTGCTGGAAATTTGGCCGGAAGGACGAGGGGTGGTGAGGGGATAATGGTCACGGACTAAATGTGGACAATCTGAAAGTAAGTGACTAAATGTGGAAGTGGTATAATAGTCATGGGACCAAAAGTGGAATTTTTTCCTTTTTTTTTCTAAAATAGTTGTTTATGACCTGCATATTTTGTTCACGTTTGGACTTCGTATTATCTTTTCCATTAGTATTTTTTTTTTTGCATTCCCTTAATAATTAAGAACGCAGTGCTTCCTTTTTAGAAGATATATATGTCCTCAATGATCTATCCGTTTTTGCTATCAATACATTAAGGGGACCATCTTTTTGCAAAATAAAAGGAAGACTAAATTAGTAGTCACGCTTAAACATAACGATCACTATCGATGTTGGATTTAAAGAAATTCACAAATGGAAAAGAACGCATTACAGTGCTGGAAGCCCACCTTTTTATAAACATAATTGTAGTTAATTTCTTCATTGGTAAAAAGGGTAGATATCTGACTCAGTGACTCAAACCTCATACTTCGCACGCCTCATCACGACATCGAAATAAAGAAATTCTTTAATTTTTATGTGTGGCTAAATGTGGAAAATAGGAATAGCTTTAATGAGATACGAATATGTTTTATGATTTTTATCAATAAAATAAACAATATAGATATGGGAAAATGCAAATTAATAATCCAATCTTTTAGAGGTTTTCTTACAATAGTACCACCTTATCGTTATTCATGAATAATTCAACATTTGCACCTCATCTTCATTCGCTGGTCCTGACCGGATGATGACCTGCTATTCCAGGTTCTTTCATTTTATTTGCAAATCATTCAACAATAAATCTCACCTTTCACAAATCTTCTCCAAACGGTCCCATGTATCATTTTTCTTTTTTCTTCCTAAAATTTTGCCTTATTATTTTTATCGCATTGACTCTTTTATTCCCCTTTTTGGTCTTCTTTTTTTATTTTAGTAATCAAAATAAGAATAAGAAGACCAAAAATAAGAATAAAAGTGTCAAGACAATAAAAATAAAAAAGGAAAAGTTTTAGGAAGAAAAAAAATGATATGTGGGACCGCTTGGTGAAGATTTGTGAAAGGTGAATTTATGGTTGAATGATTTGCAAAGAAAATGAAAAACCTGGAATAGCAGGTCATCAACCGGTCAGGGACCAACGAATGAAGATGAGGTGCAAATGTTGGATTATTCATGAATAATGATAATGTGGGACTATTGTAAGAAAACTGCTAAAAGGTTGAATTATTAATTTCCATTTTCCCTATAAATATTATCTATGATGAGCTTTAATTTCTAATACAGCCTCCATCCATATCATGGAGCTGTGAAAGAAAAATATGGCACATTATATTTTGAAAAGGTTTTCACATTTTTATTATTTTTTTTTTGAAAGAAGGTTTTCACATTTTTATTAAATATACAAAATTGTGATATTAACTTTTGTGTTCTAAAATTATTTTTATACATCAACTTTGGTTTTAGTAGATAAAATAATTTTAAACATGAACTATGACTTTAATTAATATTTTGTTAAGATCTGATGTTCCTGTT